ACATAACAAACGTAACACAACCGTAACAAACGTAACACAAACGTAACACAAATTTAACACAACCGTAACAAACGTAACACAACCGTAACAACCGTAACAAACGTAACACAACCGTAACAACCGTAACAAACGTAACACAACCGTAACACAACCGTAACACAACCGTAACAAACGTAACACCAATGTAACAAACGTAACACCAACGTAACAAACGTAACACAAACGTAACACAAATGTCACAAACGTAACACAAACGTAACAAATGTAATACAAACGTAACACAAACATAACACAAACGTCACAAACGTAACACAAACGTAACAAATGTAACACAAACATAACACAAATGTAACAAACGTAACACAAACGTAATAAATGTAATACAAACGTAACACAAACATAACACAAACGTCACAAACGTAACACAAACGTAACAAATGTAACACAAACATAACACAAACATAACACAAACGTAACACAAACGTAACAAAGGTAACACAAACGTAACACAAACGTTTAAATGCTCTCACCGCTCGTCGTAGAAACAGTGGGCGGCAGACGCCACCCACTGGCTGGAGATCAAGGCGCCCCCGCAGATGTGTGTCCCGCGGACCTGAAGGCTGGCCTGCCATGGCCACTCCCCCTCTGTGGCATTGGCCCCTCCCACTATGCGGCTGGAGAACTGCCTCAGGCCGCAGTCTGGAGACACAGGAGTATGTTTAATATGCACGGACAGATCTGGATACGTGATTTTATTGATTCGACGTGGTTACGAGAGACGCTTCACATGGACCAAACTTGGCTTGCTAGCTAACTAGCGTAGCATGTTTCCCGTGTGTTGGTCTTCTCACCGCAGTGCTTCTCGTCCGAGGCGTCGGGGCAGTCGGAGACGAAGTCGCACTCCGGGTTTGGCTTCTTTAGACAAGTTCCATCGGCGCACACGTAGGTCATATCTGTGCACTGCACACCTGCACACACACACACACACACACACACACGTATGGGTAAATTAAAGTAGGAGTATATTTTCACCAGGCCGTCTGCTTGTGTTGTGAGTGTGTGAGTGTGTGTGTGTGTGTGTGTGTGTGTGCACAGGTTGAGTGTGTTACCGTCGGTGCAGTTCATCTCGTCTGTTGCCTCGGGGCAGTCTGGTAGCTGGTCACACACTTTGTAGTAGTCCACACACTGACTGTCCTCTGGACACTGGCACTGTGCTGCACACACTGAACAACACACACAATGAATGACAAAAAAAAGCAATAAAAGCATGTAGCCCCGCCCAAAGCCCCCCCCTGCTTTATGACTCTACGTGGACCATAATTTACTAAAGAACATCATGTGGTATTGAAGACTGAAGATGTTTACTGAGGGAATAAATCCAGAGTCATTTCCTCATAGACGTCTATGGGAGCAGAGGAGTCGCCCCCTGCTGGTCACTACAGAGAAGTAGAGTCATTTCCTCATAGACGTCTATGGGAGCAGAGGAGTCGCCCCCTGCTGGTCACTACAGAGAAGTAGAGTCATTTCCTCATAGACGTCTATGGGAGCAGAGGAGTCGCCCCCTGCTGGTCACTACAGAGAAGTAGAGTCATTTCCTCATAGACGTCTATGGGAGCAGAGGAGTCGCCCCCTGCTGGTCACTACAGAGAAGTAGAGTCATTTCCTCATAGACGTCTATGGGAGCAGAGGAGTCGCCCCCTGCTGGTCACTGCACAGGACGCAGCTTTGACCTCACTTTAAAGGACGGCAGGTTGCTGCCCGGCTTCAAAAGAAAGAAATAACTACCGCAGTTCCTCTCGTCCAGTCCGTTGGGACAGTCCTTGATTCCGTCACAAGCAGGAACACACAAGCCGTTCACCGAGCACAGAAACTGACCCGGACATGCTGTAACACACACACACACACACACGCACACACACACGCACACACACACACACACACACACACACACGCAGAAGTATGTTGATGACCACAAGTGAAACCCGAAGGAGACGCTGCTGAGCTCACGTCCACAACCTACGATCTGACAGGTTGAAGACTCTGTAGCGCAGCTGAAGTCCCGGCCCGGTGAGCGACACCTCGGACGTCATGACGACGGTGGTCGCCGCGGTGAGCAGGGAGAGGCGTTCGTTGTACGACTGCAGGCCCCTGGAGCCGCACATCCTGAGGGGGGGACGGAGACACCGAGATCACAAGGCCAGACTGCAGCCACGTTTCAGAGGTTCAAACAAGACGGCGTGAAGCTGAAGAGACACGTGACTCCCGGTCAAAGGACAAGGTATCAGAAGTGTATATAAAGTATCGTAATCCTTACTGTGTAACGTGATATGAGGATCATGTGTTTTTTATGAAACTGACTAAAAGGTCATCACAAGGCGCTTCCTGTCTGACAACCACACACGCGCAGTTCTAACACATTCTAACACGTTATGAGTCACGGTGTCTGCGGGTCAACGCGCTGGAGGCGAAGGGGGAACCAAAAACGCTGATTAGACTTGAGAGGCTGAAGAGACACAAAACGGCCACAGAGAGACACAGAAGGAGAGTGACTACCGGCGGCTCTGGATGGTCCACTGGCCCTGGGTGCAGGCCCGGTCGTAGCCGGCTCTGCTCAGCTCGTAGCCCTCGAATTCCAGAGACAGACCCGTCCCGTCAGCGGGCGTCTGAGCTCACACCAAAAACACTTGGTTAACACCAGGAAGTAACACATATATCAAACACGGGTGGGACAGCGGGTACAGGGTCCCGGGTCAAGAGTGTCTCTGGTGAGACACCAAGAGAAAGCAAAGACTCGCAAAAAGACTACACCTGTCCTGCTATAGAACCGCAAGGGGACACTAAATAACAACAAATCAAATGCAGAGCGACAACAAGGAAGTGAATGAGGACAACAGGGACACAAACTGCAGAGATCGATGAGTAGAAGAAACGGCACCGGGGGCCTTACAGTGAAGCTCCAGGTGCAGTTGGTGTCGGGGGGGTAGTAGCTGGGGAAGAAGGGCGTCCTCAGGGTCCCCTGGACCCCCGACACCGCCTTCAGCTGTACGGTGCCGCCGCAGTCTGAGGAAGAGACGGAAAGAAAAGTGTCTGAGTCCACCGAGACCACTGAGACGGACGGACGGACGGGGGGGGGGGGTCTCACCCTGACGGGCCCAGGCCTGTGCAGACAGAGAAAGGGGTCCTTGTAGTTGTACAGACCCTGCTTTCAGACCACCGTCATTCACTCGCCTGAAGACAGCACGCTGACCTGCCGCTCGCGTCTGCTGCAGCCGTAGACCCTGAGGGGCCTTTAGTCTGAAGCCTTTATCCAACGACTGCACTCCTCAGTTAATTAACCCATGACGCGTCCATGGCACGCGGCTCCTGCCGTAGATTTAAGAGTGCGGCGAGTAAAGAGGCGGAGAGAGGAGAACTCACGAGGTGACGAGGCGGGAGTCCGAGGGGGTGAGGGAGTCGTACACCACCAGCCGGTCCCGGCACTCCGGCAGCAGCCACTCCATGTGCAGCTCCAGCTGGGCCCCCGGGGCGGCCTGGAGGTGCCACATGCAGGAGGAGCGCTGCGTGTCGGGCCCGCGCAGGGCGGAGCCCGGGCCGGGCGCCACCTTCTGGTAGCGGTAGCAGTCTTCGGAGGAGAAACCACGCAGAAGGTGCAGCAGACAGGAGGGTTAGAGCAGGCGGTGGTTTGGATTTACGGTATTTATTTATGTATTCGCTATTCATGTGGAATTAGCATTGACGATAGGAGGCGGGGCTAAAGCCAACGTCCCGGCGTTTTTAAAAACGACCTCTTGGTTTGACCACTGAGCGTCCCGTGAGTTGACGCTCAGTCTGATCTGTAGCTAATCACAGTTCACTCAGCGCGAACGAGCAACGATAGAGGAAGGAAAGCGTGATACCGAATGAGGCTTTCATGAGCTCTATGACCCTGGAGTCGGTTTCTGTGGGGAGCAGAACAGAAGAAGACAAAGGTCAACGCACAGGAACCGGCCTCGCCGTTCTGTCGGCGGGGAGCTTCGGGCGACGTGGCGCGTTGGAGGTGTTTTATGCTGCGGGGGAGGAAAGCGTCAAGTGAACGTGTCTCACCTCCCACGGACAGCGACGGGAGGAGGACGCGGTACCCGCCGCAGACCACCGCCTCCTCCCCCGGCCCCCCACAGCGCCTCAGGCCCTCCTCCAGGCTCCGGGTCACCTCCGCCAGCGTGACCCCCCCGACGCGGCTGCTGGGCACCGACATCACCAGCCAGAAGTGAGCCACGAGGCTCCCCGGCCTGCAGGGGCGGGAGCGAGTGTGACATCACAGCAGCAGTGGAAGGAGTCACACCACTAGAGGTCAGCGGAGCGCCGCTTTCTGCCCTTTAAATACCCATTTATTGTGAAACCTCAAGCTGGAATATGGATCGATAACGGCACAACTCCTAATTCTCGTGGCGCATTTCCAGCGAAAAGTCTGTATTTCAAAATAAAGTACTTACGGGGAACAAGTGAGTTGGGGTTTGACTATTATAGATATGGTTTCAGGACAAAGTCGGCTATGGATTATAATACATTATATTATATATATATATATTATATACATTCTATATGTATAAATAGATACATAGATGAATACATAAATAGATACACTGAATTATTATTATTGTAATTATAGTATTATTTCTCGTGGTCTTGTATATTATTGTTAAACTTTATGACAAAGTTGGATCCATTTACCCGAATGCGAACACAGTTGTGTGGTCGAAGTATCGAGAAAGAGTGGAGCCCGTCATCATCTTCTCCACCTGCAGCACAGAGGAGGAAGCAGCACTCAAAACCCAGAAGAGACTCGGCTCTTCTCACTTCCTGTTCCCCCAAAAAGAGTCTCGCTGAAGGTCATCGTGACGAACAAACGTCTGATTATTGGAATGAAAGGCGAGTGCGACCATTCCCACTGAAGACAAAGGTCACATGTCATGGGGGGGGGGGTCCAGGTCCCTGCTCACCATGACCTGCACCCCCTTGGCCTCCCTCCTGAAGGCCGGGCTGCCGTGGGAGGACAGGTCAGCAGAGAAGTTCTTGTTGAGGATGGACAGGTAGGCCGTGTACTGCCGCTGGAGCCGAGGCTCCACC